CCCCAAAACCCCAAAACCCCAAAACCCCAAAACCCCAAAACCCCTTGACAAAAAAAAGAATGAAATAAAATTATAAAAAATTTAAATGAAGAATAGAGGAAGTAAGAGTAACTCTAATCTAAAAAATAACGAAGATATGAGGATAAGACAAGAAAATAATGCAATTGCTAAAGTTGCCAGCCTTGTAGACTTTGATGATAGATCGACGGACAAGATTAATAGGGAGAAAAATAAACTTGATGCTCAAATAAGGGAAGTACAGGCTAAGATTGACAGTACTCAGGAGAAGATAGATGAACAAAGGAGAAAACTCCGAGATGCTCCTAATGAGCAAAGAACTTCAAGCAAAGTCTCTAGCAAAATAAAAGCTCTAGAGAATAGATTAGACAAAAATTTTAAAGATTATAACCAAGCTGTGGCTCATAACAAACAGTTGAGATCTAAAATTGATGCCCTTCGTAAAGAACGGATCTTATTCGATAAGAATTTGAAAAAGCTAGAGAAAGAATTGAAAGAGAAAAAGGAAGAATGATTTACTAAGACTATTAAAGATGCTGAAGAAGCTTATAAAGCTAGAGAACAAGCAAAGAAGGATATGGAGACATTACGCAAAGAAGCAGAGAAAGAGCAATATGAATTCCAAGTTGAGTGGGGCAAACTTGAGAATTTGATTGAAAAAGACAAAAATGGAATTCTTGCTAACAATAATAAAGGTAAAGCAGCAGATAAAAATAAACTATCAAGAAAAGAAATTAACTCTAAGGAAGAATCAAAGACCAAAACTGGAAATGTTGATCCTTCTTCAACCAATAATATTCAAGCTCCAAATGCGAAAGCTACTGGGAATTCCACAGCTCAGAATAACCAAAAGAATTTGAAAGGAGCCACCATAAGAGATTATGACGCTGGGTTTAAATCAATATTTGAAGCTACTCAAATCAACGATATCGACACTTTGATTTCCCAGTTTGAGAAAGCAGAGAACAACAATTATTCTCTTTTAAAATATGCCGAATCTCTTTCTTCAGATATAAAAGACTTAGATGGTGAGATAAAGACCGTAGAATCTGAAATTGCTAAATATGAAGAAGACACCTCTCCTGGTGATGAGAACAATAGGGAAAAACAGTTTGAAAAATTTAATGATGAGCTTGAGAAGACAGAGATGGAAACAAAAGAATACGAAGAAGAGTATCAAAATACTGTTAAAACTATCAACCAACTGAAAATTGGCATCAAATCCATATTTGATAGGATAGGATGAAATACAGAGTCTGTGCAAGAAATTGTTGGAACTCATGGGGTTACTGAAAGTAATATGATGCAATACTTGGATGTTATTGAGCAAAGAACCAATGAGGTATATTTCATTAATTCAAATATAGATCTTGCAAATGTACTCTGCTTGACAGGTTAAAGGGCCTTTTGATAATGGTGGAATCAAAGATATAAAACCTCAGCAATCCCAGCCTAGAGAAAGAATAGATATTGATCCTCCTTTAAGCGATCAAAATAATCTTGATTTCAAAGATATCGACGCTGCCCCTGATGCTATAAGCGCGAGTGTTTTGAGACAAAAAGCAAGTGAATATGTGAAAGACAATATGAACAAATTCGTTAAAAAATCAAAGAAAAGCCAGAAATAAATTGTGAAAATTTATTCAATTCCCTGTTATTTAAAAGGGGTTTTGGGGTTTTGGGGTTTTGGGGTTTTGGGGTTTTGGGG